CGAAGATCTCAGCGTCCACAGGTGCGTATAGGAACGCATTGCGACGTCGATTTGGCGTAGTGGTAGTTCTTCGTGGCCGCGACGGCGAGTAGGATGCGTAATGAGGTGTGACGGGAGACTGGAGCGAAGGTTTCTGTGTAGTCGGTTCCGTATCGTTGATCGAAGCCTCGTACGACCCATCGAGCTTTGAATCGTTCGATGGAGCCGTCTGAGTTGGTCTTGATGCGGTACACCCATTTCCCGAGAGAACGTTTTTCCCGTTGATGCTCGTTGCAGGTACCAGTTTCCATGTTTCTCGGTCTTGCAGAGCTTTTAACTCTTTTTCCATCGCTTCCTTCCATTTGCCTTATGTTCCCCCCCAGAGCCTGCGAAGGTCGAAGGCTCTCGCGGAGAAGGCGGCGGCGGATGCTGGACGGAGACCCAGAGGCCTAGAATCTGCAGTCCCGGGTGTGTGTCGAGGGGAATTTTCATTCCCGGAATAAGCTGCTTCGTCACCGTCTTCGGGTCAGGTAAGAAGTTGGGCCGATGCGTTCGAAATATTCGTGTCGACGGGTGGGTGTAGCGTAACCTTGGTCAGCGAAGTGGTAAAAGGTGTCGAGGTTGTTGCTATCGAGGGGATTTATCTTCATCGAGTGGAACAGGTACGGAACAGAATGGGAGTGGTCCGGCAGCTTCCGAGGCTCCAGGTACGTCTTCTTCTGCTGCGTCAGCCTCGGCAGCATGGTCAGCGAAGGAACGAAGGCCCGAGAAGCCGTCGGTGGGGTCTTGTGTGTTGGCAATGTTGTCCAGGTAATGCTGCAGCGTCAGTCGCTCGTAGAAGATAACATCACGTGATGCCACCGTATTTTTGTCTTGTATGTCGAGAATTTTCCACGCGTGAAAATGTTTGGCGATGCCGAGGTGTAGTCCCCACCGAGCTCGTTGTGTGAAGCGTCCTGCTCGGGCTGTGTGGGGTCTGTACTGTACCATGCAGCCGAAAACTCGAGTAATTTTGTGCTGCCCCTTTTTCTTGTCCACACAGGTGCGGTGATGCGTTGTTGGGAAGCGATGACGAGGACAGCAGGTTGTGCAGGTGAACTGCATGTGTCATCGCGTCTGGCCACAGTGTGGTTGGGCAGCCTCATCCCCAGAAGCAGTTTTCGCATCGTCGTCTGCAAGGTCCGGTTCATGCGTTCTGCTACCCCCTGCTGCTGGTGAGCATAGGGCAGGACACCAGGCGTCTGATTCCTCTTTCCGCCAGATAGGTCCTGAAGCGTTGTGACTGGTATTCCAGTGCACCGTCTGACTGGAAGCTCTTGAGTTTGGTTCCTGATTCTCGTTCGGCGATGGGAAGCCATGTGTGAAGGCTCGAAGGCTTGATCGCGCGTTTGAGATTGAAGTGCCAGACGTATCTGGTTGCGGCGTCGATGAACGTGATGACGTAGTTGAAGTCGGCTTCGGTGTCGTCTCGAGGCATGTTTAAAATATCGCTGTAGACTTTTCCATCGGAGCGTAAGTAGGTGCGCTTGGTTGTGATGGGATGGGAAAGGTTGATGAGGAAGATCTGCTTCGGGGGTGAAGCACCGTGCGCGTGGTCGTCGAAGTTCTTGGCCGCTCGTCGTAGAAGGGCGTTGCGTTCTAACACCTCTGCTTGGATTGTTTGAAGTATCGTGCTGTTTGCAGGATGTCCGAGACGTTGGTGCCAGATGTCGTCGGGAGCGGTGACCGGGCGAGCGGTGGTAGATGTCGGCGTTGGAGAAGAACGCGACGACCGAGGCGGGACTTCGACAAGCTTCTCGTGTGGCGGGCATAAGTTGGTCTGCTTCGGTTGGCGGTCCTCGTGTCGCTGGTGGTGGTACTCGGCTGGGTCCTGCTGCCGATACTGCAGGTGATGGTTTTGTTGGGACACTTGCGGGTACTTGTCTTTCTTGTCTGATAACTGCTAATGCTCGTGTTCTCTCTGCTGCAGGTATGGTGTTGGAGTGCCAGAAGCCGTCACTGTCGAAGTCGGGATCAAGATCCGGCGGGTGAGTCCAGGCGGCGAAATACGATACCGTCGCTGTCGGCAGTCCGCGGTCGGGGACGAAGTCCAACACGAAGACGCCGGACTTCAGGAGGGCACGACCGATGAAGAGGCCGCCCTTCCCGTGGTAAAGTCGAAACTCGTTGGAGTAGGAGTCGCACTCCAGGTGAATCCCCTTGGCCATTAGTTGGCTTACGCTTAGTAGGTTGTATCCCAGATTGTCGACAATGAGCACTTTGTTGAGCTGAAGTATGACGTTTGTCTCCATGATTGTAACTGAACCACGCCTTGTCTGTTTGTCTTCAGGTTTTCGTTGTTGGCGACGGTGATGACGACGTCGCGGTTGAGGCGTTTCTCCTGTTGCACGAAGCGTCCGAGGAGCACATGTGTTGACCGCAGCAGCTGTCCAAGAACCAGGTGTTTCGCCCGGTGGGTTCGGCGTTGGCGACGCAGCGTATGTGGTTGACCTGAAGTCCTTGTGAGCGCGGGGGAATTCTTCTTCGTCTGGTGCGTAAGTGGGTGGTGATCCGGGTGCGCAGTTGTCGATGTGTACCATGCAGTTGATGATGTTTGGTGTTTGTTGTGCAGATGTTGAAGAGCGCCTTGGGGACTTGCTTGAGTGGAAGCGACTTGTGGGTCTGCTGACGGTAAACGCGAGGGCGGTTGCAGTTGACCTTGGAGTGCCCGGAAGTCTGGCAGTTGTGGCAGAACGGCGGCACGATGGTGAGTCCTGTTGTCGCGTTTCTTGCTTGCTGCGTCGGTTGTAGTTGTTGTCTTTCTTCGTTGAGTGTAGAAGACTAACTGCTGTTGCTTCCTTGGTTGTCTTTCTCGAACAGATCCATCTCCTGTTGTTCAGCGTGAAGCTCGGCGCAGAGGTGCATCTCCGAAATCTTCCGTGGGCGCGAAGAAGTGATCGTGTGGTTCTCCATTCTGGCCCGAGCCCGGCGAGGACAAGTGTCACGAAGCTTTCTTCAGTGATGTTCCTCCGCACCGAAGCAGGCGGTCGCGGAGGGTCTGGCAGCGACTCATATACTGCATCGCCTTTTCCCCGGTCTTCATCTGTATTGTTGTCAGTTGTTGCATGAGTCTGCTTTGTGTCACGCTGTCGTTTGCTTGGTAAAGGCACTTGAGATGGTGCCATGCGAGCTCCGCGGAGTTTCCATAACTCCGATGTTCTGATGCTCTGCTGTTCTTGTGGTGACAGGTTTCTCAGGAACCGTATACGCCAGCAGCGACTGATACGTGAAGATTTCTTGTTCCTTTCCAGTGCCGTTGCTTGGGAATGGCAGGGACCCGTTGAAGTATCCCAGAAGATGCGCGGCCTCCATCAGCAGCTCGAACTCGAAGCTCCAGGTAAAGAAGTCGTGTCCGTTGAACGGTGAGGATGTCTGCAGTTTGATCACGTGTGAGAACTGCGCCTGAGACTTAAGATTTCGTTTGGTGTTTGTTGTGATGCAGCTGCTGTTGGTTGGGCACGGGGCGGCATGAACTCGAACGTCCCCGGTGAAGATGATAAGGCGCAAAGGTAGGCGCTTGATTGTGTCGCCCGAAGGATGAGTTGTCGAGGCTCATCGGCGCTAATCCCATGTTTCCTCCATTGCTCTGTGTTGAATGCGCAGGTGTCCTTGTCTGCTGCTGCTGGTCGAAGTGCGACATGAAGCTGAAGAATTTCCATAAGGTTCGGGTCCACGCTTGAAGAGGGAGATGGAGTCACCATCTCTGGTACTCTTCCCGTTGTTTCTTGAGCAGTCCCGGTCTCTGTCTGCAGTCCTGAGGTGTGCAGACCAGAGTTGCCGTGTTGAGTTTCTTGGGCGCTGGGTGAGCCCGTAGAGACTTTCTTGCCCTTGCTGTCCATGTCTTGTAATCAATGAAGTCGTTGAGTTGCAGTTGTTGATGGAGAGTAGTTGCTGGGAGTTTGGTCTCTGACCAGCTCTCATACCATGTTGGGCTGAGAAAAGCCCTTAGGATCTTTTGCAGAGACTAAGTCCCAGCTGTAGAGACTTGAGACTTGAGTAGTGCAGCGGAAGTTGAGCAGTTGAACCCTTGTACTAGTATGTGAGAACAAGTGATTGATTAAAGAAACAAGCATACAGCAATATATAGAAGATAAGAAAGCAGTTGTAGAATACAGTTACAGGAAATCGAGTCGCACAGCGACTCGATTGCCGCTTCGGTTACCATCCGTGATGTTGTAACGGTCAGTCGCAACCTCCAGTTGCGACCTTTCGAGTCCTTTCGCATTCTTTGTCCGCCCCCTCGTGTAACCTCCGTTGACTCGCGTGCTCCCCTGTAATCTTCCTCGAGTACAGTGTTACACTTCAGAAACGTTCAAGTCCTTTGAGATATTTCCAACACTTCTCACTTGCTTGGACCTTGATTGCGTTCTATATGATATATTATCCTGGCTGGCCTTGTGGCTCCTATTCCAGTGGCTGGACTAATAGTGCCTCCCTGGGTTACTCTTGTTTCCTTTGTACTCTTGCTGACTGGTCTTCAGACCCTTGCCTCAGAGGTTGGACTAGTAGTGCTACCATGTGCTGCGCTGCGTGTCTCTCTCTAGTCGTTGCCCCTTGTCTAGCCTAGGGGGTGTGTCAACAAATAGTTGTATATGTTATATGCTAGATATGTGCATGCTTATAGAGAGTACAACTCTTTAGGACAAGACCACCCTGTATCACTTATTCTTATTCATTGCGTTATTCTGAGATAATGCATGCGGCTCGTCAAGAGACTACATTCGGAACCGCGATTTGAATTTCATGGCAGAGCTGTACGGCAACCCCGTTATAGCCGTGTACGCCTTACTGACCAAAACCCGAGATAAGGCAATACCATTTCCTTACACCCTAGAAAACTTTCCCTTTCTAGAGCAGGTTGTGGCTTGATGCATCACTCAAACCGAGCCCTTCAATAAGGTTCCAAAGGCAACTTACTACCCGTGTTGTGTTTCGTCACACATTTTATCTCTTATCTCCCCTCCCTAGCACCATACAAGACACCAGACAAATCTCATAGCACTTGAGGGCCTATACATTACAAGGGCGCTCTACAGGGAGCCGTATTGTAGTCATACAACACAACGAAGCACACACTAAATGCATATACGCTGTTAGAATAGCTCAACATACGCTACATGCTCTTCTTTTCAACAGCCACACTGCAGCCACGCTCCTACCACCCCACGCATCGATCTCAATCATCCTGTCGTGAGTGATCCGGAGAAATGGTAAAACTCGACGGCACCTCCTTCCCATCCCCAACCACCACCGGCGCCGACGAGACACCCAAGCCCAAGCCGTCCCCGCCGTCCCTCAATCTGGCTTCCATGAGCCCATCTTCCTCCTCCTCAAACATCTCAAGGAACTTGGCCGTGTTGGGGTCCATGCGACGCCGCATGAAGAGCGGCAGAGTGAAGGAAGTGCAGCCGTTGCGGCGCGCGACGTAGACCAGGAGGGCCGTGAGACCCGCGAGGCACGCCAGCCCTCCGATCACTGCGAACGTTATGAGGATGGGGGACAGGGCGCCGCTGACTGCTGTCCCTTCTGTACGTGTCGGGGAAGGGGGGGAGAGAAGAGGGGTGAAGGGGTTGGCAGAAAGGGAGCGACGAGGTGAGCGGAGGTAGGCATGCTAGCCGCCTGTCTGACTGCGACGGTTATGAGGATGGGAGACCGGGGGGCGCTGCCTGCCGTTCCATCTGTAGGCGCAGAGGAGGGATGGGGGAGGAGGGGGGGGGGAATTGGGGGGTTTAGGAGGAGGGGAGAATCGGGGTGGCGGAAAAGGACACATGAGGAGAACGGTGATGACCGCGAGGCACGCCAGGCCAGCTATCATTGCAAAGGTTATGAGAATGGGAGAGGCGAATCGGTGAGTGGGTGAATGGGTGAATGGGTGAGCGGGTGAGTGGGTGAGTGGGTGAGTGGGTGAGTGGGTGAGTGGGTGAGTGGGTGAGTGGGTGAATGGGTGAATGGGTGAGTGGGTGAGTGGGTGAGTGGGTGAGTGGGTGAGTGGGTGAGTGGGTGAGTGGGTGAATGGGTGAATGGGTGAGTGCGTGAATGGGTGAGTGCGTGAATGGGTGAATGGGTGTATGGGTGTATGGGTGAATGGATGATCGGCCGGTGAGCGGGAGAGCGGGTGAGTGGGTGAGCGGGTGAGCGGGTGAGTGGGTGAGCGGGTGAGCGGGTGAGTGGGTGAGCGGGTGAGCGGGTGAGTGGGTGAGCGGGTGAGCGGGTGAGCGGGTGAGCGGGTGAGCGGGTGAGGGGTGAGTGGGTGAGCGGGGTGAGCGGGTGAGCGGGGTGAGGGGTGAGTGGGTGAGCGGGTGAGCGGGTGAGCGGGTGAGTGGGTGAGCGGGTGAGGGTGAGCGGGTGAGTGGGTGAGCGGGTGAGTGGGTGAGCGGGTGAGCGGGTGAGAGGGTGAGTGGGTGAGCGGGTGAGTGGGTGAGCGGGTGAGGGTGAGCGGGTGAGTGGGTGAGCGGGTGAGCAGGTGAGCGTGTGAGCGGGTGAGCTGGTGAGGGTTGAGGGGGTCTGGGGGTGACTGGGTGAGCGGGTGAGCTGGTGAACGGGTGAGCGGGCGAGCGGGTGAGTGGGTCAGCGGGTCAGCGGGTCAGCCGGTGAGCGGGTGCGCCGGGGAGAGGGTGAGTGGGCGAGTGGGTGAGCGGGTGAGCGGGAACCTGCGCAAGGCTGTCCAAGCCTTGGAGGCCACCCCTGTCAGCCCGACAAATGATGAGACACTTCGGGCTCTACACTCAAAACACCCCGCAGCGGAAACTCCCCTGCCAGCCTTGCTCGCCACCTTCACCCCAGAAGAAGTCCCCTCCATTTCTCTCAAGGACTTCCGCAGGTCGCTGTCCCAGCTGCCTAACGGAGTGGGTGCTGGCCCCTCAGGCACAACCTTCAAGCACCAACGAGCTGCAGCCTTGGCAAACAGCGACATCTGCTCTCACCTGCATCGCCTTTGCAACCTCGTGCTAGCTGGACGCCTCCGCCAGGAGGCCGTCGAGCTTCTCACCTCGTCGCGGCTTCTAGCTTTCACGAAACCGGGGGGAGGGACGAGGCCCATCGCGGTGGGGGAATGCCTCCACTGCATTTTCGCCAAGGCCGCGCTCCTCCTCGCTGCAAAAGCGGCTCGGCTACACTTCACGCCCCTGCAATTTGGGGTCGCGGTACCCGGCAGATCCGAGGCCGTCATCCACCTCGCACGGACCTACCTCGAGACCCACCCACGCCATCTCGCCCTCCAAATCGACCTCACGAACGCGTCCAACGCGGTTGAACGAGCAGCGGTCGTCGAGGGGCTCCGAGGCACACCGCTCGCCTTCCTCATCCCCTTCGTCCGCCTCTCGCACGGCACGCCCTCTGGCCTGTACATCGACCACGGCTTCGACGCGCTGCCGTTCTGAAGCGCTCGCGGGGTCCGGCAAGGAGACCCCATGGGCCCCCTCCTCTTCGCCGCCGGCCTGCACCCTGCCCTCGTCGCCACCGCCGCCGCGCACCCCGCCGTCTGCGTGCTCACGTATGCGGACGATATCACGCTTCTGGGCCCGCCTGAAGAGTGCGTCGCCGCCTTCCACTCCCTCACTGCCGCCGTCACCAGCAGGGGATTGCGCCATAACCTCGCCAAGTGGGAGGTGTGGTCCCCCTCCCCAACCGCTGACCCTGCCCTCCCCGAAGGCCTCTCCCTCTCCCCGAGCGGTCTCCGTGTCCTCGGCAGCCCCGTGGGACCTGAGCGCACCTGCACCACCGCCATCCGCAGCCGCCTCGCTGAAGCAGCCGCTCCCCTCCCCCTCCTCGAGAAGCTGGACCCCCAGACCAGCCTCCTCCTCATCAACCTCTGCCTCTGCCGACGCGCTTCCTACCTCCTCCGCTCAACACCCCCGCACCTCCTCCCGGACACGGACTGGTCCAGCTGGGGGGAGCGCCTCTTCACCACAGCGCTGGCGGCCTGCTCCTTTCCAGCACCGCGGCAGGCAGCGGAGCGAAGGCGGGTCTGGACGCAGGCCTCGCTCCCGCCGACCCTGGGCGGACTTGGCATCTCCGACCCCGCCACCGAGGGCAGCCACAGCTATATCACCTCGGTAGCAGCGGCAGCCCACCTGCTGGGGGACATGGTGGGGCACCTGCACCCCGATCTCGCCAACCTCCTCCCCCTCTTCGAGCCCGCTGCAAACGCTGCCGCCCAGCTGCCACGCCTCCTCGCCTCATTGGAGGCCCTACTGTCAGCAGCTGCCGTCGCCACCCTTCGCGACGCCCGGGTTACGTCAGACCCGCCCAAGGTGCAGCGGGACCTGGCTCTGGAGGTACAAGCCTCCCACTTCACTGCCCTCCTGGAAGAAAGCCACCGCCTCCAACCTAACCCCCTCATGGGGCATACGCAGCGGCTCCTCTCCCCTAGAGGGCGGGGGCCAGGCCTCTGTAGCTAGCTAACACCTGTTATTGGATCGGTTGGTCTGTTTGCCTTGCCTTGAATGTCTTCCCCCCCCTACTAATAAACGATCATTCGGGTGAATGGGTGAATGGGTGAATGGGTGAGTGGGTGAATGGGAGAATGGGTGGGCGGGTGAGCAGGTAAGCGAATGAGCGAGTGAGTGGGTGAGCGGGTGAGAAGGTCATCGGATGGGCGGGTGATTGGGTGAGTGGGTGAGCGGGTGAGTGGGTGAGCGGGTGAGCGGGTGAGCGGGTGAGCGGGTCAGCAGGTCAGCAGGTGAGCGGGTGCGCGGGTGAGCGGGTCAGCAGGTGAATGGTTGAGCGGGTGAGAGGGTGAGTGGGTCAGTGGGTGAGCAAGTGAGCGGGTGCGCGGGTGCTGGGGTGAGCGGGTGAGTGGGTGACCGGGTGAGAGGGTCAGCAGGTGAGCGGGTGGGGGAGAGCGGGTGCGGGTGAGTGGGTGAGTGGGTGAGTGGGTTGAATGGGTGAGTGGGTGAGTGGGTGAGTGGGTGAGTGGGTGAGTGGGTGAGTGGGTGAGTGGGTGAATGGGTGAATGGGTGATTGGGTGAATGGTTGAATGGGTGAATGGGTGAGTGGGTGAATTGGTGAATGGGTGAATGGATGAGCAGCGGGTGAGCGGTAGAGCGGGTGAGTGGGTCAGCCGGTGAGCGGGTGAGCGGGAGAGCGGGTGAGCGGGTGAGCGGGTCAGCAGGTGAATGGTTGAGCGGGTGAACGGGTGAAGTGGTGAGCGGGTCAACGGGTCAGCGGATCACTGGGTCAGCGGGTGAGCGGGTCAGCTGGTGAATGGGTGAGCGGGTGAGTGGGTGAGCGGGTGTGCGGCAGAGCAGGCGAGCGGGTGTGCGGGTGAGCGGGCGAGCGGGTCAGCGGGTGAATGGGTGAGCGGGTGAGCGGGTGAGCGGGTGAGCGGGTGAGTGGGTGAGCGGGTGAGGGGTTGAGGGGGTGAGCGGGTGAGCGGGTGAACGGGTGAACGGGTGAGTGGGTGAGTAGGTGAGTGGGTGAGTGGGTGAATGGGTGAGTGGGAGAGTGACACATCTAGGGCCGAAATCAGGGAGCACCATGCACCACACGGCCAGCACTCAACAACCCACACCCAACACCACACACCCCAAACCGCACACGAACCACACACACCTTCGGAGTACAGCGCCTTCCCATTGGGGTTGCAGGCAGGGCAGGAGAGCACAGCAAGGAACTCCCCGCTGAAGTTGAGGTGCAGCTGGCTGGCGGGCGGAGCGGAGAAGGCCAGCGGGCACAGCTCAAACACTGCAAAGGTGTCGTCGCGCGTCCACGTGTCCGCTTCGAACACCCCGCACCGCTTGCACTGCGGCGGCTGCAACTCCGTCAACGGCTGATGGTGGTTGAGGGATGGGAGGAAGGGGGATGGGTAAGGGCAAGGGGTACACGGTACGCCTCAAACACCCGCACTGCTTGCACTGGGGTGGCTGCAACTCCGTCAGGGGCTGATGGAGGACAGAGGGGTTTGGGGGGAGGTGTGGGGGGTGTGGGGGTTGGGGGCGAGAAGGCAAGCGGAAAGAGGTTGGGTAAGGGCAAGAGAAGAGACAAAAGGCCCGCTTCGAACACCCGTCCTGGTTGCAGTTCGGCAGCTGCAGGTCCAACTGGACACGACCTGGAATGACTCGTGCTGCGTGAACGCCTCCACGCCCGTGAGCGACTGCTTTTGTGGCGCCTCAAA